AGCTGAGCGGGGCGGACGGCGGCGGCGGGCCCGAGCCCGAGAAGATGGCGGTGCGGAAGAAGGACGGCGGCCCCAACGTGAAGTACTACGAGGCCGCGGACACAGTGACCCAGTTCGACAACGTGCGGCTCTGGCTCGGCAAAAACTACAAGAAGGTACGCGGCCGGGACAGGCAGGGCCGCGCGGGGGCCGGGGGCGGGACAAAGGGGCTGCGACCCAGCAGTCCCCCGAGGTCCTGCCCACCCTCCTGCCGCCCCCGGCCCCTCCCCCGCGACCTCCGAGCAGCTCGGCGCGCCCTCCGCCCCGCCCGGCGTCTCGCGCCCCTCCCCCGGCCCTTTTTACCCCTACCCCCAGCCTCTGATTCCAGCCCCCGCCCCCACTGCTGCGCCCTCTGCCCCTAGTGTTTCTCCACTGCCCCGGCGGGCCCCAGTGCCCGCAGACCACCTTCTCCTGAGCTGCCGCCTTCCTGCTTTTGCGGGAGAGACGCCGGGGGTGGACGGGGCGCCGAGTGGGCGCCCCCCTGACGTGCCCGCCACGGTGCCCGCCAGAGCTCCCCGTGGAGCCAGGTACCAGCAGGGCTGAGGCCTCCCTGGTGCTTTGTGTGTGTTCAGAGAGAGATGATGAAAGCAAAAGGGTGAACAGCCACAGAGCAGGCCCCTGGCTGTTTATCAGCCTGAAAAAGGCCCCCATCCCGGGATTACCTGTCTCCACCGCTCATCACCGCCCTCCCCCCATCTAAGGGGCAACAAAACCTCTTTGGTGTAGTTCCTTGGCAGCGGCCTTTTAAACTATTCCTCAGCTTCACAATGAAGGCACCCTGCGTGTAGCTTTGCATTGCCTTGGGTTTAGAGTCCAGAGGCTAGGACCAGCCTTCTAGCTAGCCTCCCACCATCAACCCCATGAGTGGAGACAATGTAGCAAACAAAGGGTTCAGGAAGCCTTACCTGTCTTGTTAGCAAACCTTTCCTGGTGTCTTCTTTGTTTTTGGGCCTGGTAAAAGGAGCATCTCCACACGGGGTGTTTCTCTGGAGATGGTCTCTCTCTCTCTTCCTTCTCACTACCCCCAATTAGGGCTCTCTTTTTGGCTTGCTTTCTATTTTCCAACTCTTCCTATCCAGCCTTGCAGCCTGTCAGAAGTGTGATGGGTGGACTCCCCCCTTTGATCCTGACTATGAGTCTGGCTCTGTTCTCAGGGTCTCCCTGGGTGTCAGAATCCTGACAGACAGCTGCTGGGTCTGTTTGTGGCTTGTCTGCACCTCAGCATGAGGCTCTGGTTCCCAGGCTTCTACCTTTGACCTTTTGGAAGGGAGATCAGGCTAGGGGCTTTTAGTCTCTGGCCCTGGGGGAATTGACAGTCTATGACCCGGCTCAGCTTTCAGGCTTTTAGCGCTTTGTTATTTACCTTTTCCTTCACTGGTGTCTTTACACCTCCTACTGAGAGGGGCTCTCTTCTCTGTGCTTAGGGTTGAGGAAACAAGGGTCAAAAGGTAAAGAGAAAGTTAGCGTCTGGCTCGGCTTTAACTAGAGCAGAAATGCTAGGATGCTAGATAGCAGAATATGGAAATGTTTAAGTAGGCCCGAGGTTGCTCGTGTCAGGTATATTTTCCTCAGAGAGGAAAGAGTTGCTGTTCCCCATCAGGCAGGTGGAGTCTTTCCCATCAAGGAGGGCCTACATAGAGCCTCAAAGACATTTGTGCCCAGTTCCTATTAGAAGCAAAACATGCAAGCTTTTTCATCTCCTTCCTTGTGTCTTTCTAATTAGGCTAATTATAGCGGGAATGTTGACCTTCCACAAAATCCCTCCAAGAAATACACTGTGGTCTTGTTTAGTGAGCCCTATACGTATTGCTCCCATGGCCAGAGCTCCATAAACCTTCAGTATTTTACAGCTCTCTGTGTTGTTCGCTAGAGATCGGGTGCCACAATAACAGGGTCCTGCAAATCATATTTCAGGGTATAGCTGAGGGAAGAGTAGGAAGCTTCCCTCGCCCCCAGCACCCAACACTGGCAGCCTGGGCTGGTGGCAGCAAAATTTCAACTTTCTGGTTGAAATTTCTAGGGGTGTCCAGGGCCTCCCTTCTGCCATTTTCTTTACAGAGACTAGACATCTGGTGAGAAAAACACTATTTTCTCTGCCCTAGATGCTTCCAGAGCAGCTGTGGAAGAAATCTGGGAGATGGTGGACCCTTTATCTAAGGTCTATTTTTCTTTCCTTTCCCCCTTTTTCCTCAGTATATACAAGCTGAACCACCCACCAACAAGTCCCTATCTAGCCTGGTTGTACAGTTGCTACAATTTCAGGAAGAAGTTTTTGGCAAACATGTCAGCAATGCACCACTCACTAAACTGCCGGTGAGTGCAAAACCAAGGGGGCAAATCCTCCAAACTGGAGAGGGGGTTGTATTTTTTGCATATTTGTAAAAATCATAATTTTTGAGATCTGGGTAATTTCCTGCCATACCTGCCCCTGATGAGGGTGTTACTGGCTTAACCTAGCCCCCAAGTTACCATTCCCTTTGTCTTAATAATATTTTGGGCAACAGGTTATCTCAGAGCATCTGGGCTCAATCCGTGAAACTCTCATGGCATAGCTAAAGGCGTATGAGGTTTGGATTTGCACAGGCTGGTGTTCAGATCCTGGCTCTGCCACTCAGTGTCTCAGTGGTCTTGGGAAAGCGATTTAAACTTTCCAAGTATTGGTTCTTTCATCTCCAGATGCGAATAATCATAGCTACCTTGCAGGGTTTCTGTAATGGTAGATGAGGTAACCTAGTAAAGTGCTTGGCACAAGGTAGTGCTTTGAGAATATTGGTTTCTTTCCCTTCCCTCTTCCAAGCCACATGATACAATGGTTAAAGAATTCCAGCTTTGACACAACAGAGAGTCCCGGATGGAGCAGGAGAAAGGTGGGGTGCAGAACTCAAATTCGAGTAAGAAGACCAGTCTTAATGGTCTGACTGAGACTGGAGGAACCCCAGAAAGCATGGCCCCCAGATTCTCTATCAGCCCAGAACTAAAACAATTTTCGAGGCCACCTCTTCAGACAGGGATTGGACTGGACTGTAGGACATAAAGTGATACTCGGAGGAGTGTGCCTCTTAGCTCAAGTAGATACAAGAGACTAAATGGGCAGCTTCTGTCTGGAGGTGAGATGGGAAGGCAGAGAGGGTTAGGAGCTGGTTGAATGGACGCGGGAAATCGGGTGGAAAGGAGGAGTGTGCTGTCACAGTATGGGGAGAGCAATTAGAGTCACATAACAATGTATGTATAGATTTTTGTATGAGAGACTAACTTGAAATGTAAACTTCATCTAAACTACAACAACAACAACAAAAAAAAAGAATTCCAGCTTTGAGAAGGAGGTCCGTCCAGCATGGGGTTGTATGAAAGGATTGTTAGGTGATAAGAGAATTTAGGATATAACTCTCACATACTTCTTTCCTGTCTCAATTTTGTAGATCAAATGTTTCCTAGATTTCAAAGCAGGAGGTTCCCTTTGCCATATACTTGCAGCTGCCTACAAATTCAAGAGTGACCAGGGATGGTGAGATGCCTTCTCTATGCTTCTTTTAGTTTAGAGGGAATCCGCCTTTATGATTCTCTGGGGCCTTTTGGGAGTGGGAAGGCATAGGCAGAAATTCTTGTGAGTCTTTCACTTTGCTAGGTCAGTAGGCCTGACTTACTAGGTCAGAAAAATGGCTGGGAATCAGAGCCAAAATAGTCTCCAAGAGTGAGTGAGTATATGTGTGTGTGCGTCAGTGTGTGTATTGTACAGAGAAAGGAATTCTTAGGTTGGCATCTCAGCTTTTCTTTGTCCTTTTGGACTAAGCACAGGGTGATTCAAGGAGTTGAGATCAGTGAACCCTAGCTCCCAGGTGACATTGGCAAAAGCAAGATCACCTCCCAGTTTCCCATGTTAAGAAGTCATATAATCTAACCTCATCCCCAGACCTGAGCTATACCACTTACTAGATTATTGCCCCTTCGCAAGGCGGCGTTATGATTTCCAGAATCCATCACGCATGGACCGCAACGTGGAAATGTTCATGACCATTGAGAAGTCCTTGGTACAGGTAATAGTCAAGAACACCCCTCATCTCCTTCCCTTCTCTCCGTGAAAATCCAAAACACCCTTTCCCCATAATCTCATCCTATCTGTTTCTTCTCCGCACAGAATAACTGCCTCTCTCGACCTAACATTTTTCTGTGCCCAGAAATTGAGCCCAAACTGCTAGGGAAATTAAAGGACATTATAAAGAGACACCAGGTGAGTGGATGGGTCAGGGGAGGTCTCGTAAGCTCCGTGACTTTTTCCCTACGTTTTCCATACCAAAACGCAGCCCTAAATACCAGGTTTTCTACTGCAGAGGTAGCTCTACCTACTTGGAGAAAGAATAAAGCCCTAAGCCTCTCTTTCCCCGTCTGTCTCTCCCATTTCCCAGTCTTGACGGGTTTGGATCACTGGCCTGGGGAAGAAAACATCCACTTCCACTGAGCTAAAGGCCTGATTCTAGATAAATGGAACCCTTGCTCTTTGGAGCTTAATAATAACAAGGAGATGTCATGGATAGGGACATACAGCTTACTTTAAATTTCCCATGTGTAGATTCTCTATTCAGAGGATTATCAAGCAGTTTTTTAATTCTTCGACTTCTCCCCATTATTAGCACAAACCAGCAGTTTTTGTGCTTAGAGAATGCAAGCTATCTTTAATACTATGCTAAGCAAAATATGATTGGGAAGGCAGGACTGTGGTCAAATCTTATTTCAGTGTATTTATACTGTGGATAATTTAGAGGGGAACATATTTACATGTTTCTTCCTGTGCCATCCAGGGAACAGTCACTGAGGACAAGAACAATGCCTCTCATGTTGTGTATCCCGTCCCCGGGAACCTAGAAGAAGGTGAGACCTGGATTGTCCTGGCCACTGCAGTGGCTGGCTGGCTGGCTTGGACGGGGAGGTGGAGGAAGCTCAGATCACCACACAGGGTCTGGGCTTCTCTCTACTTTGAACCCTAAATCCTCCTACCCTCTTAAGTTCCCATTACTGGGTACCCTACTGTAACTGGGAAGTGCTTAGGGCTTTTGTTCCGTGTTATTTTCTGTGTACCCCTTTAGCTTATACCTCTCCCTTCTCCCCTCTCTGTCTCTATCCCCAGAGGAATGGGTACGACCAGTCATGAAGAGGGATAAGCAGGTTCTTCTGCATTGGGGCTACTATCCTGACAGGTAAGGACTGGTTCCTCATACAGGTTTAAGTACAAGAACCCAACCCAGAAGCCCCAGAACATCTAGCAAAGCAGGAAGGGGCTCTTTCAGGGCTATTCTTTAGGCTAATTAATTTGTTCTCCCCCCACCTATAATGTGCACCCTCTGTCTTGGGGGAGATTTGGACCTAGTGGACCAGGCTTAGGCTAAAAGGATCAGGGCTTTATGTGTGAAATGGTTATCCCAGCATAATTTTTGATAAGTAAATGTTAGAAACAATCTAAATGTCTAATAGTAGGAAAACGTTTTGGTAAATTTGTTTATTATCAGTGGACTATTGTGCAGCCTTTAAAATGGTATTTGTGAAATAACATGGATAATTTGTACATTATAAAGTACAAAAAGTAGAATGTAAAATAACATCTATGATTATAATTACGTAAAAACAAAATTGCTCAAAAACATTACTGGGAAAAATATATATTGAATGTCAAGAGTCATTGTGTTAGGACACTGAGCTTCTGTTAAGGGTGATGGAAAAATTCAGAAATAGTAAAGGGTGATGGTTGATCACTGAACTGTACATGTGAAGATTATTGAAATGGCAAATGTTTTGTTACCTATATATTTACCACAATAAAATAAGAAAAAGAGTAGAAAGAGTAGTTGTGTTAGGGTGACGGGATGAGAGAGAATTCTTTTCTTTCTCTATTTTTAAAATTTTTGTTACGTGCTTTTATTACTTGATAGCGAAAAGAATCCCAATATTATTAGAGGAAAAAATTAAACCAAAAAACAACCCAACAACCCAATATTTTTAGTAACTGGAAAAGGTAAAAGATCGGCACTTTACTTTTCCACAACTGCATCCCATTGATTCTACTTCACGCTCTATTTCCCATGGCAGTTATGACACATGGATCCCAGCTAGTGAAATTGAAGCCTCTGTGGAGGATGCTCCGACTCCTGAAAAACCTAGGAAGGTGAGCTTTCTTTGTCCCCCTGCCCAAGAAGGATGACAAGACCAACCACACTTTGGAGGTGAAGCGGAGGCTCCTGTGCCCTTGGGCTGTGGCTTCCAGGCTCCTCTCCAATCCTGTCTGCCTCTGTGCTTCAGGTTCATGCAAAGTGGATCCTGGACACAGACACCTTCAATGAGTGGATGAATGAGGAAGACTACGAAGTAAATGATGACAAAAACCCTGTCTCCCGCCGAAAGAAAATTTCAGCCAAGACACTGACAGATGAGGTGAAAATCGCTCTTCTTTGTTCCTCCAGCCCTTAGCCTAAGTTTTGGGACAAGTCTTCACTGGAGATTGTTGGCTAACATTTGTCCCAATTCTCTGGGCTACAGGTGAACAGCCCAGATTCGGATCGACGGGACAAGAAGGGGGGGAACTATAAGAAGAGGAAGCGCTCCCCCTCTCCCTCACCTACCCCAGAAGCTAAGAAGAAAAATGCTAAGAAAGGGTATGCCAGTCTCTAACTGCCCCTGCCTTCACCCTTCTCTCCCCACCATGCTGAAGGAAGGAAGGATAGACCCCTTCCCATAACACCCAGCGCTGACGTGGGGATGCCATAATACTGCAGGTATCCTGAGAGGAGGGTGGGAGGTCTTCTTTAGGGGCCCAACTGTTAGTTCTGTCTTGGCCACTAGTTAACTCAGACGGAGCTTAATCTCCAGATGAAAAGCTTTTGCCACTTCCCGTTACTCTGTAGCTACTGGTTTCTGTTCATGCTAAGCCCCACTCTTGGGATTCTCTCTCATTTTCCTGCCCTTGAACCTCAACTTCCAGGGACTCCGTGTCCAAGGATGACTGGGTCCTTTTTCACTCTCTCCTTCCCAGCCCCTCAACACCTTACACCAAGTCAAAGCGTGGCCACAGAGAAGAGGAGCAAGAAGATCTGACAAAGGACATGGATGAGCCCTCCCCAGTCCCCAATGTAGAAGAGGTGACATTGCCCAAAACAGGTATGGCCCAGGCCAGGCTCCTGGGACCCACCCCACTCCCTGTCTTGCCCCTGCTGTGCCAAGCCTCCTGACGGGGCTGCTTTCTCAGACCCAGCTCCAGATCTAGAGGCCCTTTCCCTTAGATTCAACTGCTTATGGAAATTGTTTTCATTACCATGATATTCTCTAATTTCATATCCATATCTAAATTGTGGACTGTGCTTTGCACCTGACAGTAATTGTCTCTAAACTTGTCTCGATTATGCACCCCATCAGTAAAATATATTTAAGCACAAATTATATACGTGTACTATTTTACCAGGTTCCTGGGTTGTGCAAATGGTTTGCACTCAACTACTAACCTGAAGGTTGGTGGTTCGAACTCACCCAGTGGTACTGTGGAAGAAAGGCCTGGTGATCTGCTTCCATAAAGATTACAGCCCAGAAAACCCTATGGAGCAGTTCTACTCTGTAACACATGGGGTCGCCATGAGTCAGAATTGACTTGATGGCAGCAGATTTTTGGTAATATCGTATCACTATGTTAGGAACGTTATAAAACTTGTGCAAACAGAAAAATTTAAAGAGTGAGATTAAAAAACAAACTTTATTATAAAGAGTTCTGATATTGTCTTCCTGTATTCCAGTGGGTAATCTTTTGTATCCTATGTGAGCACCCTACTTTGGAGACCATTGTTTCTCAACTCTGGTTTGCGATCTGTATTCCATAGACTAGTCCCAGGTGTCCCAGGGGTGTATTTCGGTGGGGGGAGTGGGGGATACTGAGAGGGAGGAGTTCTGGGCTTCTACTCCCTCATCAATCAGCAGCTCTGCTGTCTATCCGTGTTTTCTCCTGAGCTTTCATGTATGAATTCATTTGAGGAGAGTGTTCCTCTGTTTAAAAAAATGTTGCAAATCTACTGCTTCTCTACAGAGTGATTTGGTCAGAGCCAGTCTCAGTCTGTTAAGCACTTATAGACACGTAGATGGAGATAAGGGCCTATCAAAGACAAGAATGATTTATGAATGTACATAGAGAAGTAAAATGCTTGCTTATATGGAAAAAGTTAAGCAACTTTTTGGTTGGAGAAGGGAAGAAAGTAGCAAGTGAGTTTCAAGCCCTGCCGTGAATGTGACCAGAGGAGGTTATTACATTTTGTTATCGGATGGAGAAAGTTTGAAAAGGAAGTGGCTTTCTCTAGAGTTGTTAACAGTGATTTAGGCAGAATTTGTCTCATAAAGTGACTCTCTTCTGGCAGTCAACACAAAGAAGGACTCGGAGTCAGCCCCAGTCAAAGGAGGCACCATGACTGACCTGGGTAAGATCAGGAGCCTCTTGGGTAAGCCAGTCAGAGGCTAGAGTGGGGGAGAACTCAGCTGCTTCCTTTTCATTTCTGATGAGGCTTCTCAGTAGGATTCTCCTTCTGCATCCTTACGTCTTGCTGTCTTTCTCTTTCAGATGAACAGGAGGACGAGAGCATGGAGACCACGGGCAAGGTGGAGCCAGTTTAGAGAGGCACTACCTCTCTATGTGATTCCGATTTGTGATTATAAAGTTCTGTCTGCCCAGAATCTTCCACTGCTCAGACTTTTCCCACCCTAGACTAATTCTACTTGTTGCCCAAAACTCTGACTCTTTCAGAGCCCTGGGACCATAACTGTTCATTCCCTTCACCCATCTTCGGTGTCTATGTTCCTGGGGTGTGGGAGGAGCAGAGGGTGGCCAGGATAGGGGGGCGGAATGGGAATGCTGAGTGGCCAGCAGCCTCCATACTTCCAGGATGAGGATGAGAACAGTACAGGGAACAAAGGGGAGCAGACCAAGAATCCAGACCTCCATGAGGACAACGTGACTGAACAGACCCACCACATCATCATCCCCAGCTATGCTGCCTGGTTTGACTATAATAGGTACTGATGCTCCACCTTCTCACTGAATCATGTTTCCCCAGACTCTGAGGTCAATGTGTTCCTCCCCCCACCGCCCCAAATAAGTTATTTCTTCTTCAGCCACATAGTCCAGAGTACACTTCAATTTTAGATGAGCTCCTGGTCCCTTTTTGAGTCTTACAGCTTTGATGGCAAGTTCTCCCCAAGTGTCTAGTCCCTTTCTGCAGTCTCCAGCTGACTGCCTACCTCACCTTCCAGGCTGTTCCTTCCTTTGGGACTCCCATCCCTCCCCCAACGCCTTCTACTGAATGCATTCTGGCTTCTTTTGCAGCGTTCATGCCATTGAGCGGCGGGCTCTCCCTGAGTTCTTTAACGGCAAGAACAAGTCCAAGACTCCAGAGATGTAAGGAAATCTCAGATCATGATTCTTTTTCTTCCTCCTGTCCCATTCACCCTTCCTGATCCAGCAACAATGAGTTCAGCAAACACTTCCTGAGTTCCTTCTGTGAGCCACGCGCTGTTCTAGAGCCAGATGCCACGCTAGGCTTACAAAGACATGATCTCTGCCGTTAGGCAGCCCAGCCCAGCACTTGACCATAGCAGCATATCCTCTGGGATCTACCCAGCAGTGACAGGAAGCATGCTTTTCTGCACGAAACAAGTACCTACTCCAGTGCCTTAGAGCCTTTCAACCTGTACTTACTGATATTGTCTAAAATGCAAATATCCCTAGCACAAGTAATAGCTTTGACTAAAACGTAAATGACTATTAATCAGGGTGGTCCCTGAGTACGTTTTGATAGAAAAATAAGTGGAGGAGCTATGAAGACCCTAAGTCCCCCAATTAGGGATGGAGAGGGCTCTCTGGGAGAGAGAATTATAGAAAGTGCAGGCTTGGGGCTGAGAAGTCTTTATCTCCTTCAGGATTTTGCCTCAGGCCAAACCTGCCTGATTTTGGATGAGACTTGGCAATCTTCTGTGGTTAGGGAAGCCAGTATGATGAGTAGGTAGGCAAGTCTTAGTGCTGAGGCAAGGCTCCCTGGGAACAGAACTAGCTTTCTTCCTAGCTGTTCCCCCTCTGCCACCATGTTTCTTTCCCTGTAGCTTGGCATGGTTTTCTCCTCTGCTTTTGTCTGGGGAAAGTAGTATGTAAAGAAGACTTGCTCTCCTCAGAGAAAAAGGAAGTAGTGACCAGGTGGCATGGGTTCCATATGATATGCAGGCAGCGCTGGAAAACAAACTGTTCTAAACTTTGAATTCGTGGCACAAAATAGTTAATGATGATAATTGCCTACATTTAGTGAGAGCTTACTATGTACCAGACATTAGCCTAAGTGTCGGAGTCCTGGTGGTGCAGTGGTTAAGAGCTCAGCTGCTAACCAAAAAGTTAGCAGTTCGAATCCACCAGCCGCTACTTGGAAGCCCTACGGAGCAGTTCTACTCTGTCCTCTAGAGATGCTATGAGTCAGAATAGACTTGAAGGCAACGGGTTTGGTTTTTAACAGGTTTGGTTTTTTACGGGTTTTTAACCTAAGTGTTACTGATAAGAGAATGTCCGTATATGCCTACAAGAAAGACAAGTTAATACGACTATTACTCACATTTATGCACCAACTACTAATGCCAAAGATAACAAAATTGAAGATTTTTACCAGCTTCTGCAGTCTGAAGTTGATCAAACATGCAATCAAGATGCATTGATAGTTACTGGTGATTGGAATGCAAAAGTTGGAAACAAAGAAGGATCAGTAGTTGGAAAATATGGCCTTGGTGATAGAAACAATGCCGGAAATTGCATGTTAGAATTTCGCAAGCCTTGAGTTGCAATATTGAAGGATTCTATGGGCAAAATATTGAATGACACAGAGAGCATCAAAAGAAAATGGAAGGAATACACAGAGTCACGGTTCCAAAAAGAACTGGTCAGCGTTCAGCCATTTCAGGAGGTGGCATATGATCAAGAACTGATAGTATTGAAGGAAGAAGTCCAAACTGCACTGAAGACACTGGTGAAAAACAAGGCTTCAGCAATTGATGGAATACCAATTGAGATGTTTCAACAAAGGATGTAACACTGGAAGTGCTCTCCGTCTGTGCCAAGAAAATTGGAAGGCAGCTACCTGGCTAACCGAATGGAAGAGATCCGTAGTTGTGCCCATTCCAAAGAAAGGTGATCCAACAGAATGCGGAATATCATTAATAACACATGCAAGTAAAATTTTGCAGAAGATAATTGAAAAACTGTTGCAACAGTACATTGACAGGGAACTGCCAGAAATTCAAGCCAAATTCAGAAGAGGTCGTGGAATGAGGAATACCATTGCTGATGTCACATGGATCTTGGCTGAAAGCAGAGAATACCAGAAAGATGTTTACCTGTGTTTTATCGACTATACAAAGGCATTTGATTGTGTGAATCATAACCAATTACGGATAACATGTGAAGAATGGGAATTCCAGAACACTTAATTGTGCCTGTGCAGAACCTGTACGTAGACCAAGAGGCAGTCGTTCGAACAGAACAAGGGGATACTGTGTGGTTTAAAATCAGGAAAGGTGTGCATCAGAGTTGTATCCTTTCACCATACTTGTTCAATCTGGATGCTTAGTAAATAATCCAAGAAGCCAGACTATATGAAGAAGAATGTGGCATCAGGATTGGAGGAAGATTCATTAACAACCTGCAATATGCAGATGACACAACCTTGCTTGCTGTAAGCAAAGAGGACTTGAAGCACTTACTGATGAAGGTCGAAGACTACAGCCTTCAGTATGGATTCCACCTAAATATAAAGAAAACAAAAATCCACACAACTGGACCGATATGCAACATCATGATAAACGGAAAAAAATATTGAAGTTGTTAGGGATTTCATTTACTCGGATCCACAATCAACGCCCATGGAAGCAGCGGTCAAGAAATCAAACGACATATTGCATTGGGCAAATCTGCTGCAAAAGACCTTTTCAAAGTGTTAAAAAACAGATGTTACTTTAAGGAGTAAGTTGTGCTTGACCCAAGCTATGGTATTTTTAATAGCCTCATATGCATGCAAAAGCTGGACAGTGAATAAGGGAGACCGAAGAAGAATTGATGCCTTTGAATTATCGTGTTGGCGAAGAACATTGAATATACCGTGGACTGCCAGAACAAACAAATCTGTCTTGAAGAAGTACAGCCAGAATGCTCCTTAGAAGGAAAGATTGTGAGATTTCGTCTCACGTATCGGACATGTTATCAGGAGGGACCAGTCCCTGGAGAAGGACATCATGCTTGGCAAAGTAGAGAGGTCAGTGAAAAAAGAGGAAGACCCTTAATGAGATAGATTGACACAGTGGCTGCAACAATGGGCCCAAACAACGATTGTGAGGATGGCACCTAACAACAACATCCTAAGTGTCCTACGTATATCGACTAATCTTTGCATCAACCTTAGAGATAGGCACTATTATCATCGCCAGTTTACAGATTAGGAGACTGAGGCCTAGCGGCGTTAAGTCACTTGCTCAAGGTCATACAGCTAATAAGTAATAACACAGGATCTGAACCTTGTAGTCTGGCTCATGCTCTCCATCTTTATACTACACAATGTAATAGCTACCATCTTTTTCAGCTGCTATAGTGTGCCAGGCACTGTGCTAGTACTTTACAGACTTCTCTAGTCCTCAGCAGACATTCTCTCTTATAGATGAGAAAATTGAGGGTCAGAAAATTTGGGTAACTTGTCCACGGCCATCATGGTAGAACTGGGATTTGAACTTAGATCTTTCAACTTGAAAACATAGTCTTTCTGCTGTGTCATGCTGAATAGTTGAATGCATAGATAAGGATTTCACCTTTAACATCTGAGTTTGGAAATAAGAGCACCTTTTCTTAGCCTTTGATTCCTTGTTCAAAAGTTGGCTGAGATGTTCCCAGGTACAGCCAAGGAGGGAATTCCTTTAACTAAAATACCCCATCAAGGAAAATGTAATAAATGTTTGAATCCCTTGCATCAAACACATAGTAGGCGCTCAGTGTTTATCTAGTTGAATGATCTGCTTTTTTCTCTCTTTCTCAGCACAGGTGTCATTTGCTGTTTTCTCACTCTTCTTTAGCTCTTGGCGACATTTACTTTCCTTCCTCCTGTTGTTCATGTCTCTCTCTTTCTTCTAAGCTACCTGGCCTATCGAAACTTCATGATTGACACTTACCGACTGAACCCCCAAGAGTATCTCACCTCCACTGCCTGCCGCAGGAACCTGGCGGGTGATGTCTGCGCCATCATGAGGTGGGTCTTGTGGCCGAGGGCAAGGGGTACAGGAGTATGTCTGCCCACAGATGTCTCTTGGCAGAAGTCGAAATGTAAGGAGGCTAGGGAATGAGCAGGGGAAAGAAGGCCCTAGAGAAAGGCAAAGTACAGGTGTGGGTTTGAGGGGCTTGAGGGAATGGCAGTGGCATTCTCTGAAGCGCGAAATAAAGGAGAAAGAGCAGATTTATAGTGGAAAGAAGGTTCCTGGATGGCACAAACGGTTTGTGCTCGACTGCTAACCAAAAGGTTAGCAGTTTGAATCCACCCAGTGGTGCTACAGAAGAAAGGCCTGGTGATCTGCTCCCATAAGAATACAGCCATTGAAAACTCTACAGAGCTCAGTTTTACTCTGAAACACTTGGGGTTGCTATGGATTGGAATTGACTTGATGGCAGTGGGTATAGTTGAAAGATACTGGCTCAGTTTGACTAGATATCCAGGAAGAGATATTTAGTAGGTGGTTGGATATGGAGACAGATCCAGGCTAGAGATATAGATTTGGGTATCACTGGCATTTAGGAGGTGGGTGAACAATGGGAGTAGATGGAATATCCCAGGGAGTAGACTGAGTAGACAAGAGGGCCAAGGAAAGGGGGAGCTTTATGCTCCCGCCTCTGCCCCCAGCCCTCCTCCTCACATACCTTTCTTGCTACCCTGGGTGACCCTGTCTCTGCCTCTCTCCTCACAGGGTCCATGCCTTCCTCGAACAGTGGGGTCTTATTAACTACCAGGTGGATGCTGAGAGCCGACCAACCCCAATGGGGCCTCCACCCACGTCTCACTTCCATGTCTTGGCAGACACACCATCAGGGCTGGTGCCTCTGCAGCCCAAGACCCCGCAGGTAGGGTGAGGGGCTGTGGGGACAGGGAGGGGTTGGTGCACAATTGGGCTTCTTTGGACTTTTCTTTTTCTGGATTTTTAGGGGAATGGTTCAGGAGTGTTTCGAGACTTCTTCCTTTCCTTGGGATGCAAAGGGCTGCAGGGGTCAGCATGTGTTTAGTGCCCTCTCTCAGCCTCTGTACCTAAGACTGTGAGGACTTGCTGAGAGAGAAGGGATGCTCCTTGTCCTCAAGGAGCAGACAGGCCAACGTAGGGGATGGAGCAGATAGAGAAAAATGCCTTCAGATGAACTTGCATGACATTTTAACTTTGTCCTACATTTTTCATTTTTGCTTCATAATTATTATCGCCTCCATTTTTTTTTCACTTCCATTTCATACATTACAAAAATTAAGAGGAGAAAGGTTATGTGGCTTGCCCAAGGTCACAGAGAACCAAATCTAGGATTAGAACCTAGTGGTCCAGCTCCTAAGAGAACCTGTAAAGATATATGTGAATACAAATGGATGTCATGCCAACTACTTATCTTATTAATTATCAAGGGAACATGGAACAGTGGCATGAGTGCCCCCAGAGCTTGTGGGCCACCCAGCATTTGATCTTGAGGCGTCCACGGCCTCGGCCTGGTCATTTCCTGCCCAGCCTCCATGACGCCAAGCTCTGTCCCCCAGGGCCGCCAGGTTGATGCTGATACCAAGGCTGGGCGAAAGGGCAAAGAGCTGGATGACCTGGTGCCAGAGACGGCTAAGGGCAAGCCAGAGCTGGTAGGTGGGGTGTAGACCCCGCTGGGCTTCTTATTTGCCCCTTTATTGGGGGGCCCCTGCCCGGGGAAGAAGAGACATGAGAGCAGAGGAGCTACAGCAGTAAGGGAGGAAGTCCTACCCAGGGGTGTCCTTGGCTTTGGGAAGGAAGCTCCTTCTGTCTGTTTTCTCTCTCTGTCTGCCCCTAGCTCCCTGGGGTCACTTGTACTCACCTCTTTCTTTCCCCTCCACACATAGCAGACCTCTGCTTCCCAACAAATGCTCAACTTTCCTGACAAAGGCAAAGAGAAACCAACAGACATGCAGAACTTTGGGCTGCGCACTGACATGTACACCAAGAAGAACGTCCCCTGTAAGGTATGGAGATGTGGGCTGCCTTCAGAGGCCAGAGAACCTGTGCTCCTCGGAGATCATCGGCTCCTCATACCTGACCCACCTGTTTCCCCTGCAGAGCAAAGCCGCAGCCAGTGCCACTCGCGAGTGGACAGAACAGGAGACCCTGCTACTCTTGGAGGTAATTGGGGCAAGGAAAGGAGAGTCTTGCGGAAACAGAAGCGGCCAGGGCGCCAGCCACACTTGTGAGTGGCGAGAGCATGTGGAGTCTGGAATGAGTAGGGCACGATGTTGCAGCCCATCTCTGCCTTCCCAATGCCCACTGCACCTTGCCTCAGGGAGCAGCTCCAGGTTGGGGATTTGGGCCATTTCATTAACTCCCTATCCCTTCTTATGCCACTTGGAGATTCCCCTTGAGCCCAGCAGAGTACGCAAATACCAAAACACTGAGAGCTTTGATGCCAGCTGCTCTAGTGGAGTGGGGGGAGTTGACCTTCAAGGAAAGTGGCTAAGTAAGCAGAATTGTATCTCCACCACTACCACCAGGCACTGGAAATGTACAAAGATGACTGGAACAAAGTATCAGAGCACGTGGGAAGCCGCACGCAGGACGAGTGCATCTTGCATTTTCTTCGTCTTCCCATTGAAGACCCGTACCTGGAGGATTCAGAGGCCTCCCTGGGCCCCCTGGCCTACCAGCCCATCCCCTTCAGTCAGTCGGGCAACCCTGTCATGAGCACTGTGGCCTTCCTGGCCTCTGTTGTCGATCCTCGAGTCGCCTCTGCTGCTGCAAAGTCAGCCCTAGGTAACGTGGAGGGGTCCTGGCCTTCTTGGTTTGTGTTTGAAGGGCTGGTTACTCAGACGGTGAAATCTCATCAAGTTTGGCTGCCCCAGTAGCCTTGCCTGTTGCTGGCCTTGGCTGAGGCACCTGTCCAGCTCCATGCTGGTCTTAGATGAAGAGATGGGCTTGTGAGACTTTCTCAGGGAGAGCCAGAACTGCCTACCTGCCCTGCTCCCAGCTCATCCCTCCTGGGTCTTGCAGAGGAGTTCTCCAAGATGAAGGAAGAGGTGCCCACAGCCCTGGTGGAGGCCCATGTTCGCAAAGTGGAAGAAGCAGCCAAAGTGACAGGCAAGGCAGACCCAGCCTTTGGTCTGGAAAGCAGTGGCATTGCAGGAACCACCTCAGATGAGCCTGAGCGGATCGGTAAGGCTGGGCAAGTTCCCAGAATTTCTCCCCTTTCATCAAGAGCCAGAGCCATCTGGCCACCCTGTGCCACCTCTGCCTTATGCTGGCATCAGAGCACAATGCAGACAGGGAGGATTGGTAATGTTTTTATTTTCCACAGGAATAGGAACTGTAGCTCCCTACTGGTCCTCTCACTAGGATTTTGACTGGTAGAAGGGACTATTGGATAAGTGCAATACAGACAAACTCTGTATCAGACATTTCCCATTTTTTTTTCCCACGGGCCCAGAGGAGAGCGGGACTGACGAGGCACGGGCTGAGGGCCAGGCCACAGATGAGAAGAAGGAGCCCAAGGTACAGAGGGATTGACCTCGGGCTGGGAGGGTGGAGGGGCCAGGCATGGACCTCCGTGATGGGGGAGCTGGCATAATTCCGCTTAGGCAGGCGAGGTCGGGGGCTCAGATGGTGTCTGTCTCCTGGAGCCAGGTCACCTCTCAAGAAAGAGAAGACTCTGTTCCCGGTCTGGGCCCTGATAATTAGCCGCCCTGGCCCTTGACAGTCTCTACTTTTCTTTCACTGGGGCTTTAGGATCCCCGAGAAGGAGGAGGGGTTGCAGAGGAAGAAGCAAAGGAGAAAACCAGTGAGGCTCCCAAGAAGGATGAAGAGAAGGGGAAAGAAGGCGATAGCGAGAAGGAGTCAGAGAAGAGCGATGGGGACCCAGTAGGTGAGCCTCTCCAGGGGGGAGGTGGGGGTACAGGAAGGCGAAGTGAAGCTCTCTGGCTAACTCAACCCTTTCCTGGCCCAGTGGATCCCGAGAAGGAGAAGGAGCCAAAGGAAGGGCAGGAGGAAGTGCTTAAGGAAGTAGTGGAGTCAGAGGGCGACAGGAAGGCCAAAGTGGAGCGGGACATCGGTGAGGGCAACCTCTCCACCGCAGCGGCCGCTGCCCTGGCTGCCGCAGCCGTCAAGGCCAAGGTAAGGGCCGCAACCAGGAGACTCACGGGAAGCAGGTGTCCCACTTCACGTAGGGGAAATCCTTCTTTGCGCCTCTCTTAGATAATGCTAGCCTGTGTCCTTTTTGTTCTTATCCTGAGATGGAGACTTGGTCACCAATTCTCCAAGCTTTTTAACCCTTTTACCATCAGGCGTGTCTCTGGCCCTCTAGTTTTATTTGACTTGGTCTTATCCTGTGCCACCCTTTCTTCATGTTTTTTTTATATGATTTTATTTTTGTTTTCGTTAGACGTATACACAGCAGTCTACTGTATATCAACGATTTCTACATGTATAATTCAGTTACGCTGATCACATTCTTTTGAGTTTCTTCACGTTCTTTTAAAAGTATCAAGCCTGTACTACTTTCTGGGTTGTGACCACAGCAAGTGCTTTCTGAACACCTGCCAGCCTCCACCCTCCCTTTCTGTCCCTGGGAACATCTTCAGCTGGGTCCTCCCGCTAACATGCTGCACCATCCCTCCGTCCCTAGCACTTGGCTGCTGTCGAGGAGAGGAAGATCAAATCTCTGGTGGCCCTGCTGGTGGAGACCCAGATGAAAAAGTTGGAGATCAAACTTCGGCACTTTGAGGAGCTGGAGACAATCATGGACCGGGAGCGAGAAGCAGTGAGTGTCTAAGTCCTGAGAGATCACAGAAGAAAGCCCAAAGCTCAGAGGCTAGTGAATTGATCAGGGCTGGCTTCCTGAGGAAGGTGAGTCTTCAGCCCATTTTGAAGGAAGAAGAGAACATGAATTGACAAGAGGAACTGGAAGGGTTTTCCCGATCAAGGTAACCGCAAGTTCGAAGTTTTAGGGCTGAAATGAGCAAGGGCTAACCACCAGTTTGACTCTATTGCCATGACAAGCCCATGTGGAGAGCCAGGGGAACTTAAACCCAGGAGAATTCATGAGGATGAGTGGGTAGAGGACAGAGGAGCCCAAGATTTGATGTGGGGAACCACTGGAATGAGAGGCTGGGTGTGCCAGAGAAGACAAAGCAGGGACCAGGTATTTTCCTTTGGGTCTTCTGAACACCGGGTAACAGTACTCATTTGGCACTGGCAGCTGGAGTATCAGAGGCAGCAGCTCCTGGCCGACAGACAAGCCTTCCACATGGAGCAGCTGAAGTACGCGGAGATGAGGGCCCGGCAGCAGCACTTCCAACAGATGCACCAACAGCAGCAGCAGCCACCTCCAACCCTGCCCACAGGCTCCCAGCCTGTCCCACCCACAGGGGCTGCTGGGCCACCGTCAATCCATGGCTTGGCTGTGGCTCCGGCTTCTCTGGCCCCTGCTCCTGCTGGCACCGGGGCACCTCCTGGAAGCTTGGGCCCCTCTGAACAGATTGGGCAGGCAGGGCCAATTGCAGGGCCACAGCAGCAGCAGCCAGCTGGAGCCCCCCAGCCTGGGGCAGTCCCATCAGGGGTACCCCCCGCTGGACCCCATGGTAAGTGGATGGGTTCTGGAACTCTTGCTGGCTAATGAGCTGAATGTTATAGTTCCCCGAGAAGGGGCTATGTAATGGGGACTGGAGATAGGGATCCACCTAAATTTCTACAGATGGACTCACCTCTGTTATGTCCCTAACCAGCAGGGATCCCTCCCCAGACCCAGACGTTTGGGATTTTGTTCCAAGGATTTGCCTTATTCTAGTGTTAGGAAAGGGGAAGGTAGCACCAGGGAGTGGCTAGATTATCCTCACTATGAAAGTGAGTTGGTGAGCTGGATTTTATGTCTCTAACTTCCTCTCTCTCTTCATTCCCAGGCCCCTCACCGTTCCCCAACCAACAAACTCCTCCCTCAATGATGCCAGGGGCAGTGCCAGGCAGCGGGCACCCAGGCGTGGCGGGTAATGCTCCTTTGGGTTTGCCTTTTGGCATGCCGCCTCCTCCTCCTCCTCCTGCTCCATCCATCATCCCATTTGGTAGTCTAGCCGACTCCATCAGTATTAACCTTCCCGCTCCTCCTAACCTGCATGGGCATCACCATCATCTCCCGTTTGCCCCGGGCACTCTCCCCCCACCTAACCTGCCTGTGTCCATGGCGAACCCTCTACATCCTAACCTGACGGCGACCACCACCATGCCATCCTCCTTGCCTCTCGGGCCGGGGCTCGGATCCGCCGCAGCCCAGAGCCCTGCCATTGTGGCAGCTGTTCAGGGCAACCTCCTGCCTAGTGCCAGCCCACTGCCAGGTGAGAAGGGTCCAGGAGGGGAGAAGGGGGTGAGGGAGATGGGTCCACACAGAGGGATGGTGGGTAGGTGGGGAAGAGGTCAGGTACTGGAGCTTCCACAGTCCTTTATGAACTCTGGTAAAATCAGAATACAGGAGGAAGGCCTCTCTGGCTGTCCTCTGCCATCCCCTAGCCTGGCAGCTGCCACCTCTGGGATAACGTTGGGCCTTTCACTGGTGGGCCGTGGAGGAGTCCTGTGACACAGAGCATCTCAGTTGTAAACTTGAAAAGTTGCTACTTGTTTGTATGGTGATCGGCATCTCGTTTGCTTGCTCCGTTCACGCTTAAATGTGTCATTTAGCGGGCTTAGCCATAAACCCTGCCTGCACTCCACCTGGGTATACCCGGCACCTTTTAGGTACCCTTGGAGGCAGGAGGGTGATCTGGGGTATATGGGTTTTTCCCAGTGTGAAGCAGAGGAGGGTGTTCAAAAGAGGAAGTTGTACATTGTAGGCACCTCATTCACCTAGCCACCCATTGCACGCCATGCCTAGTTCTGTTGTCTGGTGGCCAGGATCCCTCTCCCCTGCTCCCTGTAGCTGATTGTCTTCCTTTTCTCCACAGACCCAGGCACCCCGCTGCCTCCAGACCCCACGGCCCCGAGCCCAGGCACTGTCACCCCTGTGCCACCTCCACAGTGAGGAGCCAGCCAGACACCTCTTACCCACCTCCCCCATGGAGATCGCGGTTCCAGGAACAGCCCTCCCCCACCACTGGGACCCCTCCCCAGCCTGGAGAGTTCGTCACTACGTAAGGAAAGCTCCTCCTGCCCCTCCAAAGCCCCCACCATGCCTGTTGGTGCCTCAGAGGCATGTGTTTTTATATCAGATTATTCAAGGACTTCTGCTGAAAAGCTGTTTATAATGTCTGGGAGAGAGGATAGGATGGGAACGCTGCCCTCAGAAGAAGGGCTGGGGGAAGGTGTTTATACAAGGTAGTTAACCATGTCTAAGGGTACACTCCCCCAAAAAACTACTGCATTGTTTTTAATGTATGAAAAAAGATCAAGCCCTCTAAAAGGAAGTAGAGATTTTTTTTTTAAAGCCACAATTGGAGCTCCCTTCACCCACTAAAAAATAACTTACATTTTTTTTGAGGGGGTGGCAATTTTAGGGAGGGGGAATTAAGGTCTGGGGAGAGCTCTTGGGGTAGAATAGGGTGCAGAATTTGCCCCTCAAGCTCCTTCTTAGTGACTGCATCAGCTCCCCACCTTCCCTCACCTGCCTACCCCCAATACTAATTCTCCTGCTGCTTCCTCAGTGTTGCTGTGGTTTTAGGCCCCCCGAGCTCAGCCGACCGTCTGATCTTTTTCCCTCTGTCAGTTTGTGTTTCTTTGTAAAAGTCACCTGCTCAGTGGATGTCAGCGTATGTGTATTTGGGGGGTTCCTGTGGTAGGTAAGAGAGGAAGAAAGGGCACTAGGAGCTGTTCTTTTCTCCCTCCCCTGGGCTATATCAGGGGTTCCTGGGAGGCATGAAGAGGGAAGCTACGAGGGGATGGCAAGTTTTTAAATCCTGAAATTTTCAAAAAGCACTTAAGCACCTCCTTCTTCTGACTTAGTATGCCACCCGACCCAACATCTTCCTTCTCCCACCAAGACCATCAGAAACTTGACTGGTAGCTGGGGGGTTCCCTGGATGAGGACACAGGGATTTGGAGCAGCAGGGGAAGGGGACGCCCAGCCTGGGGTAGCACCAGTCACATCCCCAGCTCGTGGTGCAACCCTTCCCCCGCCCCCGTCCCAGCTCTCCCCCTCTTCATCCTTGATGTGAAGGCAGATGTGGTTCCAGGCCCTACACCCCAGTTCTTCCCAGCCCCGCCCACCGGCCCCCTTGTCCCTCACGTCCTGGTGTTCCTCTTCTGCGTCTTGGCACCTTTCTTCTGTTCAAAGTTTTCTGTAAATTTTCTTTCTCTTTTTTTTTATAAATTAATTTGCTTTCAGTTTCATCTTGTGGATGCCGTCTGTGTTCTGTGAGCTGTGGCCATCAAGCAGAGGGGCTGGGCTGGGGGCAGCATTCCTTGAGCCCTTCACAGGGGCACTGTTCTGGGCAGAGGCACTCAGCAAGCCACAGGGCCTAGAGACGCTGGGCCTCTAACCACACAAGGCCAAAGGCATCACAGCTGTGAGTACTGTGCACTGGGGCAGGAGCTGGGCAGAGGCGCTCACCTGCCCTAAAAACAGCTGTTTAAGACCTGGGAGGATAGCCCCACAACTTGGAGATTCTGTCTTTATCCTTTCAGAAGTAGCAGCTTCATTCCTTCCCTTATTAGGAGAGGCGGAGGCAGGCATCTTACCTACTCCTGTTGTTATTGGCCCCCAGCCCTCCTGAGGTGACAGGCCCAGGCACTGCTAATATGGCCTGGCTTTAGCTCCAATAAACCCTCCCCAGATTTCTCCACAAAAGGCCATCAGTGCTTGGGAGGGTGGGGACTAGGTTTAAGGAAGTGGAGTGCCAGAAGACCCGACCTGATATGGGATGGAACAAGGATGGCCAGCTTTGGTCCTACAGGGATTTATGGCTTTCCTGACCCCCCAGAGGGTAGCCTTTGTAGCATATAAATGAATGGGGCCAGTATTTCTTAAATGAGGCCAAGATGGCTCCTACAGGCCCTTCCCCAGCCTTCCCCATCCCCTGGTTCATGACCCTACACTCTGACTCAGGGCAGAAGTCATTGTCACATTCTTCCCCTTCATCCTGCTCAGGAAGGAAAGCAGGACCAAATCTGGGCAGAGAACAAGTTTATTTGGTGAATGCTGCTGGCAGATTATCCAAGAGAGACAAGACGGGAATGGTGTGGGCAGCCTGAGGAAGCCTTCAGGGCTAGATACAGTGTCACACAGGGAAAGGCACGGGACTCTTGGGACATGGGAAGGGCTGCCCTCAGCCGTTCAGCACCATACGGACGAGCTCTGTGAAGAGGAAAGGTGCGGTGAGCCAGGAGGCAGGGCTGAGGGGAGGGGCACGCCAGGAGCCAGGAGACTACAAGACCACGAAGGTAGCTTAAGAGGCAGCGTGCCTGCAGCAACCAACCTTGAGTCTGACCAGTTCTCTCTGCCCCTAGCTCCCCTCCCAGCAGCTGTTAGTCCCCCACCCACCCTGAGCAGCAAGAACACAGCAGAGGCAGAGAAGTTCTCAACTACACCTACAGCTACTGTCAGCCACTGGCGCAAGGAAAAGACAGAATTTTGGGTTAGGGTACATCCAAGCTGCCCAGCAGAGGGAAGGGGAAAGGACTATTCAGCTATAGCAGCAGAAAGGGTGGGCAGGCAACCCATCCTCCTATGCCAACCACCCATGCTCTGGGGCCAAAGGGCCACCCTAAAGCAAGACTGGTATGTATAGGCTGGTGAGAGTTCCCAGACACCAGCACCCAGAGTCCTAAAAGCAAAACTTAAGAGCCCAGAGTAGATGCCCCCCATTCTAGGAGAGGAGGTACCATACCCCCAGCTGTCTTCCTCTTTGAGGAACCCCTCCCTTCCCCAGTCAGCTCCATGCAGAAGCATGCGAGGAGGAGGTCAGATAGTAGTGTAGGATAAGGGCAGGGGGCTAGAGAGCGAAGGTTGGGAAGAAGAAACACTGGGGAAGGTCAACTAGAGAAGGAGAGGCTGGGAGGAGCCGTACCCGCCCCACGGGCCCGTCACCCCGACAGGATATGCCTCACAAATGCTGCAGAAAGGAAGAGACATTAATGGTGAAGACAAGACACGGACATGGGGTGAACGGGTCAGGCGGTGGGGAATTAGACATTCCATTTATTTTACTTCCCATTCCTTCCCCACCCTTCACACCACATTACCCCTTTCCTGTCATACTCTGACCTCCCACTCCTGGCCTGGGCTGGGCTGGGCCCTGCCCCTTGCCGCCTGGCTCCTTTTGGAGCCCAAGTCCAGAGATAGGGAAAGCCCCAAATGCTTGTCCTTGACCTGTCCCACACAGCGGCTTCTTCCATGAGAGCCCCACCTGGCCCCTCACCTTCATAGTTGATACAACCATTGCTGTCCTCATGCCCTGCAACCAGCATCTCTACTTCTTCCTCTGTCATCTTCTCACCTGCAGAGGGAAAGCAAGCAGTTTTGGAATTGGGTGACGGGTGTATCAGGATGGCACCTCAGCTCAAGTAGCAAGGGCACAGAGCCTTACCCAGTGTGACAAGGACATGCCGGATTTCAGCACCCATGACGGTGCCGTTCCCTTCCTTGTCAAACACCCGAAGGCCTTCGACATAGTCTTCATAGGTCCCCTGGTCCTTGTTCTTGGCCACAGTCTGCAGCATGGGCAGGAAGTGCTCAAAGTCCAGCACCTTCACGTTCATCTCTGCCATAAAGGAGGTGGAAGGGGCAGAGTGTCAGGCTAGGGAAGTCACATGAGCTCTCAGGACTGAGGGGATTACAGGGGTCACAACTGAACAGACAGCTCCCCCCTCAAAGCAGAGGAAATCCATGAGGTCTGCTAACTGAGACAAGGCTTGCTTGAGTTCGGAGGCCTATGAAGATAAAGGGGAGCTCTTAGCTAAACAACTGTGGGCCCGCTACCACACTGAGGAGTCGTTCTAAAGGATGCTCACCATCACTCTTGGGGTTCCCCAGGACCTTGAGCACCTCTGCGTTGGTGGGGTTCTGGCCCAGGGCCCTCATCACGTCCCCACACTGGCTGTACAGGATCTTGCCATCACCCGTTCGGTCAAACAGCTGGAAGGCCTCCTTAAACTCTGAGGATTCAGATGAATGTCAGCACTGGGGATGAAAGGGTTAACTCAAACCCTACCTCCAAGTTACACTGTACCCATTCAACTGAGATCTCCATGAGAAACCAGATATCTGTACCACTGTACACCCACATCTGTAAAGAGGGATCCAGTTTCCCTTTCCCCCAACTAAGGTGTCCCACATAAAGATAGAGCCTTCCTCCCCGCTGGCAGTGGTAGTAGCATTCACTTACACATCGCTCTGCCAGCGGCACGCCTGCCCAGCCTCCTCACCACTACACCGCTCAGGGCAGGAATGTGCCACCGCCCCGGCTGGGTCCTGTCCTTATAAGGAAGTGGAAGCAGCCGCCCGGGACGGGGGTCATTCCAGCCTGCCACTTCCCGCCCTTCCCGTACAGAAAGGGTAGACAAAGTCGTACCCTTAGCAACTCCCCCCTCCCCCCCGCCCATCTCCACAAAATATCAGATCACACTGCTCTTCACCATCATCACAATTCCCAGCTCGGGCACAGGGGCAGTTATCACAGGAGGAGAGAAGAGGCAGAGGTAGCCGATTAAAGGACAGAGGAGCGCAGGCAGCTCAAAACACACCAGACCCCACACAAGCAGGCAATATGTGACCAAGCAGTTCACATACCCACACCACCTAAAACTCACCCAGTGCTTGGGGCTCAGATCTAGAGTGGAAGGGGAGGGAGGGAGAAAGAAAGAAAAAGAAAATGGAGGATCGAGAAGAGGAGCCAGGAGTACTGTCCTGGGGGGTGCTGAAGAGGTGACATGTTGGGGTAGCGGGCAGGTGCTAGAGGGGTGTCCCTCTCCTGAAAGGTGACCTCAGTAGGGGCCAGAGATTACTTACCTGCGGTCTGGTCCTCGGTGAAGTCACACTGCTCAGAGAAGAGGGGAGCGGTCAGCATCTGAACTCCAGTTCCCCAGCTTCTATCCCACAACCACAAACTCCTGTTCCATGCTAAGGACGCTCTTCCTCGCAGGACCCTAGACTTTCCAACCCCCCTCCTACCGTCCAGGCCCGCAGGTTCCCTTTGCACCCTACTTCAGGCCATCCCCGCGCCCCCTACCCGGGCTTCCCGCCTCTTGCCCCAAATCCCGCTCATTCTCCCAGGCCCCAGGCCCCACCATCTTGACTGCTCAGGTTTCGGGACCTTTTTCTGCAGTAATGGCTCCGACTCCAGGCCCAACCCTGGCCTTAGTACGCCCCTGACGTCACCCTCAGAGGATCCAGCCAATAGGAACCTGGCCTGCGTTTATGCAGAGGATATTGCTACATTAGCAATGAGGTGGGCGGAGCCGCGGCTGAACCTTTCTCCAGAGTCGCCCTACCTGGGACTCAGGAACCGCAGGACTGGGTTGCGTCGCAACGGATCTGCACTTCCGAGCGGCGAAAAAGCAGAGGGAATCCGATTTGGGGAGAAGAGAGAAAGCCCTCCCTTCCCTCCCTCCCCCACCTCTAAAGAAAACAACAGTCCGGCCGAGGGAGGAACCGTCTCTTTATTTTGAAATAATGGTGGCCTCCTAGTGGCCGGAACGTGCTTCCGCTTGCAGGGGTTGGGGCGGGGAGTGGGCGGCAGTGTCCGGCCCCATGGGATCTGTGGAAAAAGATGAAAGTTGCCAGGCCCTGGCGCTCGCGCAGAAGCAGGGCAGGAAAACGCACTCCCCTGCTGTTAGGCTGTGGCTGACGAAACGGAAGGAGACTTGCCTCTCAAGGGTGGGGGTTCCCCCCTACCCGTAGAGCTCAGACGCTTAGGATGTGCTTCAGGAAGGCTGCAGAGAGAGGGGGCAAGAGGGGCTTCAGAACAGGCCCTTAGATACTCCACCTGACCTTAGACAATCCAGGTCCCAGGGTACCCCACCACCACCACATACATGGTGAAAGGCCCGCTTCCCTCCTCCCTGTCCCTTCTCCTGCGCCTGTGAGCCTCACCCTCATAGTTGATGCAGCCATTGACGTCCTCATGTCCTGCCAGAACAGACTCCACCTCCTCCTCAGTCATCTTCTCTCCTGAACCCCAGACACAGCGTCTTAGCCCCGCCTTCCCTCTCACCAACCCAGGCCTGACTCTTCTAGGTGGTACCTCCTCTTCTTCAACCCCGAGACTTGGTCAAAGCAATCGTCTTCAAAGGGAATCCTCCCCTTGTGAGGGTAATGCCTCGCGTGTGTTACTGCGTCTTGCTTTCCGTTTCACCTCATTAACGAAGTGCCTTGGTGTTGGTGAAAGCTTTGACAAATGGGGAAACTGAATTCCAGAGAGTTAAGAGACTTGTACCAGACCACAGAGCACAAGCATCTCTTCCAAAATGGCAACTCAGGTCGACCTTCTCATCCCTTCCTCTGCCCTTTGTGTCCCCTCTCACTTTAGCCTCTGTAGGAGGAAGTCCTTCAGATTCTGCTCTGACCTTCTAGTCTTCTGCACATGACCTGAAGGACAGTAACCCCCTCCCTGGCTCTGCCCACCTGGCCAACCTTCTTCCTCTCTACCCCACAGGAATTCTGGCCCCTGCCTCACCCAGGGTGGTGAGGGCGTGTCTGAGCTCTGCTCCCATGACTTTGCCATTCGCCTCCTTGTCAAACACCCGAAGCCCCTCCAAGTAGTCCTGGTATGTGCCTCGGTTCGGGATCTTGGCCACTGCCTGGAGCATGGGCAGGAAAGTCTCGAAGTCTACACGCCGAGACTTCAGCTCTGGAGGTTAGAAAGAGGTGAGGGAAAGGTCACTGTGGTGTCATCCAGGACCCAGGCTCCTATCCCCACCACAAAGGTTTCCATTCTGTTCAATATTCCAGGATGTTTTTCTGCCCCTGTTTGACATTTTTTGTAGTCCTGAGACCCACGCAAGCATCCTTTGCATCTTACCAACATTCCTGAGTCCCACCATCAAACTGAAAGCCCACATTGTTCCACGAGTTCCCTCACCATCACTTTTGGGGTTCCCCAGGACCTTGAGCACCTCGGCGTTGGTGGGGTTCTGGCCCAGGGCCCTCATCACATCCCCACACTGGCTGTACAGGATCTTGCCATCACCTACTCGGTCATACAGCTCGAAGGCCTCCTTGAACTCTGAGATTATAGGGAAGAGTCAGTGTTGACCAGGGGTTCCCATCATCCCCAGGCAGAAGGGAGGTTCAGCAACTATGGGCTAGCACTGGGCAGAACAAGGGACGCAAAGAAGACTAGCGTGGGAGGCTTCAAGGTTGGGAATGGAGTTGGGGGAATAGAAAGAGGATCTGAACGGGGTCTTGGGATTGGATAGTGGGCTTAGGGGACCAGCTTCTCCTCACCCTCCAGCTGGTCCTTGTTAAACTCGATCTGTGGAAGAAAAGAGCAGGTGAGAAGGGATGACAGAGGTTATTAAATCCCTCTCCAGCACTCCTCCCAACCAACTGGCAGCCACTTCTAAGGAGGGGCCCGAAGGGACCAGTCCGGGAGCCCAGCCACCTCAGTCCCATTCCCAGTTCTGGGCCTTGGGAGAATCCCAAGAGGGGGAATTATAGGGGGGAGGGTTTCCTGGGAGCAGGGTTAATCCCATGCCACCTGTTCCCCTCCCTCCACTGCCCTGAGCCCTGCATCCTTCACATAACTGGGGGCTGAACAAAGGCTAAATTTACCCCTGGCCCCCAGCTGTGATTGTCTAACAAGCCTGTCCTCTTCAGCCTCCCCTCCTGGGGTTGAGCTGTGCCTTTTGAGTTGAACAGCCAGCCAGGGGCAGGCAGCATCTCCTTCCCTTCACCTTGAAAAAACCATCCTCAGACCCAGATGTTCCCCATCTCACAGTTCCTGACTCCAGCAGGAGAGTCAGTGTGTGTGTGTGTGTGTGTGTGTGTGTGTATACACACACATGTTTTATGTTAGACAGAAAAACAGCACAGACAATAGCAGTCATAAGCCTGGATGCTTCCAGATGGGGAACTCCCAATCTCATCCCAGTGCTCATCAATTCTCTACCTTCTAGACACCCTCTAATCCCCTAGGCTGTAGCCCACCCTTGTACCACCCTGTTCAAATTCTACCCTCACTTTCTGGGGACTCACCACCACTTTGGAGAGATCGATCGGGGGCTCCTCGGGTTTTTCAGGGACCACAGTGGCGGTGGCAACTGGCTCATCCTTGGCCTTGGCCGGAGGGTCCGCTGCTGCTGGCTGGGCTGCTGCTGCTGGCTTGGCAGCAGGCTTTGAAGGAGAGGGCCCCGCTGGTTTCTTCATGGGAACATCCTTCTTGGGAGGCATGATGTCCAGTAGTCAAAGGACAGTGTGCCGATGGGGGCACCCATCTCTGTTTAAATAGCCAGGGAGACTGGGATGTCAAGGGGCGGGGGCAGGGGCAGGGAGCCAGTTGGCAGTGTGGAGGATGAGGTAGAGGAGAGACGCCTGTCTGCCCTCACTCCCCTGGCCTCCTGTGGTTCAGGACTCCTCCTGCCCCAAGGTCTTCCCCCTCTGCCCACTCCTTTCCAAATGCTGGCTGGACCAATGTTCCCCCTGGGGGCAGGGAGATGAAGCTAGAGACTGCCCATGATGGGGGAGTTAACCTCTGGGGTGAGGACAGGATGCTTGCCAGTGCCAGTGAGAGAGAAGGGGAGCCGGCATTTCAGCCCCCTGCCTCAGGGTAGTCCTGTTTTCTAGCAGCTTTAGACTCTTGAAGGCTGAGGCAGGAAGGGGGGCCTTATCAAAGTGCGGTCTAGGGGCAGCGAAAGGTGAAAAACAGGCAACCCTTCCACCTCCTCTCACCATGGGTGAGGAGCAAGGGTAGCTGACCCCACAGCCTAATCCCCAGCACCTGTAGTTCCTGGCCCGCTGCCCCGCCCAGAACGGGTCTGTGCACAATATAGAAGAATTGCGACAGGAAGGGGAGTGGGGCACCCCTCCCTCATTGTCTCCTGTGCCCAGTGTTGTTTTAGGGGTGGGGACAAAGGTCAGGTTTAACACCCACCACCCATCCTCAAGCCCATGATCATTCAAATCAGACAAAGGAGGGGCTGCTTACCGAAACTGCAGGGACCTTGGGTGGCACCTGGGGGCGGGGGGGAGGCAGACAGCCTAAATTCTCTAATCAGAAATCCTATGGGGTCCATGAGTACTCACCCCCAGACAGGGGGGTAATAAAAGCCCTGACTCGAGCACCAGGTCACAAGCCGTGCTGGGGGCCCTAGGAAAGGGTCGGAGGCGGGGAGGGCATTAGGGGAGGGGTGCAGACTGCTTTTGTTCTGGGGGGTAAAGAAGGGGAGGATTTAGGTAGCATTCTGGGGAAGACAGCACTGATTCCACTTAGAGCCTAGGGTTCAGAGTGTTGATGCTGGGTCTCCTACTTGCAAAAATGCGTCTGAATCTCACAACTGCGTCTGAATCCCATAACCGCAGATTGTCCCATTTTAACAAAATCAGGAATCATTCCTCCCTCAGGGAGTACACCCGAAACAGACAGACATACACACATACATACACATGCACAGAGAGAAAGATTGCGCCTTAAATAAAGGAAAGAGCCCCGAACCAGCTCCAGAAAACTCACCCTGCGGGAACCCGGTAAGGGGAGGGGGCGGGGCGCAGGGCAGCGCTGGACCCTGAAGGGTTAATTCCGGCGGCCTCGAAGCATGCTGGGAGCTGTAGTCCGCTCTCCGACTCCAGGCGGACGCTAAACCGGTGGCTTCCGGCCGTGGCAGCGTTTGGTGACTCGGATCTTTCGAGCGCGCTTTTTGTCCCGGAACTGAAAGGCAATGAGCAATTTACAAGCCCCCGGCACCGGTGACCCTAAAACCTCGCGGGTCCTCTTAGGCTATCCCCCTTCCTTAGCCCTGGTTAGTTTCCATTTAGTGCGGGCGGAGATCTTTTCTGGGTCTGTTGTTAGGTGCGGTGGAGGCGGTTCCGATTCATAGCGATCCTGTGTACAACAGAATGAAACACTGCCCTGTCCTGCGCCACCTTCAAAATTATTACTATGTTTGAGCCCATTGTTAAAGCTACTGTGTCAATCCATCTTGTTGAGGGTCTTCCTCTTTTTCGATTACCCTCTGCTTTAACAAGCATGATGTCCTTTTCCAGGGATTGGTTCTTCCTGATGGCATGTCCAAAGTAAGTGAGACAAGTCTCTTCGCCATCTTCGCTTCTAAGGAATGCGGAAATTATCGAACAATGTCAATATCACACACTATAGTTTTGCTGAAGATAATTCAAAAATGGTTGCAGCAGCACATTGACGGAGAACTTCACGCCACTTCAGAAGAGGACGTAGGAGGGATATCATTGCTGATGTTAGATGGATCTTGGCTGACAGCAGAGAATACCAGAAAGACGTTTACCTGTGTTTTATTGACTATGCAAAGGCATTTGATTTTGTGGCTCATAACAAATTATGGATAACATTGCAAAGAGTGGGAATTCCAGAACACTTGATTGTGTTCATGTGGCACCTGTACTACGTATATATACGTAGACTAAGGGGCAGAAAAAGTAACAGAACAAGGGGAACTTAGTGGTTTAAAATCAGGAAAGACGTGTGTCAGGGTTGTATCCTTTTTCCATACTTATTTAATCTGTATGCTGAGCAAATAATCTGAGAAACCACAAAATATGAAGAACTGGCATTAGGATTTGAGGAAGATTAACAGTTTGCAATAGGCAAATGATACAACCTTGCTTGCTAAAAGTGAAGAGGGCTTGAAGCACTTTCTGGATCTACTGGTGAGAAAATCCGGAAGGTGGGGGGATTGAAGCTGCAGGAGGCGGGATGGAGGTCAGATACCAGGAAGCACTTACTACTGTGGGGAGAGTGCCTGCGGTCTCTTCAGCTTCCTCTCTGGTTTGGTAGAAAGAAAACAGGCCATTGAGTTGCTGGGTGACTTGGAGCAGTTGCTTACAAAGTTCTATGATTTCTTTTTTTTAAATGAGCTGGTTGCTGAAGTAGATGTTGAGATTTGGAATTAAGCCCAGTCACCTGCCCCAGAGGTGTTTCAGTCTCTCCACGTGGAGGCTTCTGCACCCTGTGGCCACGTCTACGCTACCTGCCTGGTCTTCAGACGACTCCATGGAATGGAAGGCTGGGCCCTCCAGCCCCTTACTCTTAGATGCCTCTGTCCAGCATTGGAGTTTATTTCCTCAGACATTCACCATGGGTCTCCTGTGTGCTGAGTGAGGGAAAGGACCAGCCTGGCTGGAGCCCACCTTCACTTGCTGTATCAGTAAAGCCCTGAAGACCCTCCTCATTCTGCAGGCCGGGGCTACACAGGAGTGCAAGGAAGATCAGAGTATAAAACCCATGCAAGATCAGAGTAGCGAGGCACAAATGAACGTAATGGGCAGTGATGTCCACTGGTTGGAGAAAGCTTCCTGGAAGAGCAGAAACGGGTTGTATAACAGAAATGAAAAATAATGATGATGATGATAATGATGATGCTGATAGCTATCATTCCTCGACGCCTCCACCGATGAGGTACTGCATGAAGAGGCTAAATCATCTCAGAGAGACAGCATAAGGCGTGCTCAAGTGTATGCGCTCAGACCAGCTTGCTCACATTTGAATCCTGGTTCTGACACATGCTTGCTAGTAACCTCTGGCAAGCTCATTATCACTCTGTGCCTCAGTTTCCGCATCTGTAAAATAAAAATAATCGTTATCTACCTCATAGGGATGTTGGGAGGATTAGCTGTATTAAGATTTGTAAAATAAAATGGGCCTGGCACAGACAGGGTAAGTGCTATATAAGTAAAATTAATGTTCTTTAATTTTCCCCAGCATGTGAGGTAGAGGGTATTTTCCTCATTCCACATCCATGAGGGATCAGTAGGTATGAAGAGATGGAGAGGAATACATTTCTCTTGAGTGTTTGGTTACAAGACTGTTAGGGGAAGGGCCATACCACAGATGCCTTTTTGTATCTGTCATTACTTCTGCAAAAATTCATTTCTAAGATGTGGTTTATCTGATTCTTTTTTTCCTCCTCCTTTTCTCCCCAGCCCCCTTTTGACAGTTTGCCAAGTGTGAGTGGGGGTTAACATCAGCTGACTTTTTAGCATTTCCTGTCTGCTTTATAGAGAAGTAAACAAGAAGAGAAGAGGAAACCCTTTGCAAAAACAGGTTGAAGGACTATTCTGCGTTTTCTGTGCCATCCCTGTCTTTTAATCGTAAACAACAAGAACTGGACTGCACCCGATCTTAACGGGGCATAGGTGATTTATACATCTTGTATGTTGATTCTCTGACAAATGCCAGCCCTTTCTCCCCACCAAGCATATGACTTGTGTGTTTTTAGGGATTGCATATTTATTCTAATATTAGTCTCCAACATGAAATAATTAAAAGGGGCACATCTCTAAAGGAGAAAGAAAATCAAATAAAACATTAAAAACCTAGTAGAACAACTTTTGGAATTACATGCAGCAACTGTTTTTTTATAACCCTTCAGTAACTTTAGTAATTGTGGGTTCACCCTATACAGCTTAATTGACTCTTTAAACACTAGCTAATGTGTTAGGATGGATAATAGTTTAGGTAGAGAGGACACTATTTCTGAAATAAATAGGAAAGAATTTGTTGGGAAAGATGTCTTCAGTCCACTTTGGCATTTTGACCAGAAAGTAGTACTGGCGGTAACCCATAAAACCAAACCAAACCCGTTGCCATTGAGTCGATTCCGACTTGTAGTAGGTCTATACGACACAGTAGAACTGCCTGTAGGGTTTCCAGGGGGCAGCTGGTAGAGTCAAACTGCCCGCCTTTTGGTTAGCAGCCGAGCTCTTAACCACTGCACCAGCAGGGCTCCATGTAAGTCGTAGTGAAGAGAAAAAGGAAGATAGTGAGGATGTTTTGTGATACGCAGGTAGTTTATAAAGTCCTTTCCAAGCCCCATTTTTATAGATCCATACTAGGTGCAAGATATAAGCAGAATAATAAATGTTATGGTAAGTAATGTAGTTTTGTTTTTGTAATGTTCTGAAACAGTGATTCTCAGACTTAGCTGTTCTCCACAATCTCCTGGGAGCTCTGTAAGCAGATACACTTCCAGACGCTTCCCCCAAGGATGTGACTCCAGGTCTGCGTTAGGGCCTGGGAATCTGTTTGAAATATTTTTTGTCTACTAGAAAACACAGAGAATAATGTAACAAATACACAGGTAACCACCAGCTTTAATAAATGGAGTGATTTTTTCAGAATGTGCGTCGGATCACATCATTCCCTACTTAAAATCCTTTCATCTTTTCGTGCCTTTTGATAAAGAAGAAATCTTTCCAGTGGCCCACAAAACAACCACAACTTCAGACACTCCTTGCTTTGCTTCCTTTATAGCAGCCACACCCACCAGGTTTCAGATCCTCAAAGGTATCCTGTGTCCTGTCAGCTCAGGCT